GTTCTATCAAGAGTGCAAATATACAATAGACAAATACCATCATCAATTTTTTTAAATTTTGTCATCGCGATCATCATTATGAGGCAAAATTTAACGCATTTTTTTTTAAAAAAAATGATCCTACAGTCTCTCTCTCTCTCTCTTTTTTTTTATCAGAAAAAGAGTGCATATGGTTGGTGTGACACCTCACATAATTATATCAATATACGCTAGAAAATATTTAATTTAAAAGTCCATACATATTTCTAATACTGCAAATAAGTCAAAATTTCAAAATATTTCTAACATAACTTAACAACATAAACTATTGAAGTCTTATAGTCATGGCAAATAAAAATATAACATAGCATGTGCTTGAGGAGTACAAAAGCCTTCACAGCTCACTCCATTGGTGCCTTCCTTTGATTCCTACTAGATCCTTCGCCTGAAAATTGTTAATATAGGGGGTGAGATGAAACGTCTCAGTAACTACTGAAATTTTAACCTATACAAGCAAATCATATATGATAAACCAAAAATATGTTTATATGTGTGTATATAAATATATTAAAAATTACAGATTTGATACATTCAATTCAATTTCATTGTTTTCAACAATATACCAATATCATTTTTCTGATATATCCAAAAATAATGCAATATACTGCCTCCCTTATATCACCGTCCACCCTTATACCACTAACTGGAGCTATAAGGTAACACATAGTCCGATAAGAACTAATCCATTTTACTAAATTATTCCAAGCTCACCGATATTAGAAATATATCCGGCCAAAGATATAGAGCTCAAGCTCGGACTATGGCTCCCCTCCTTTGTGAATAAGGAGGTGTCACATGTCTCACAGCTCCAATGAATTCCCGGCCAAAGGAAAACATGGAAGAAGTGGCCCTGACAAGTGCCATCCACTGTGCACCAAGTGATGGCATACCACGTGGTAATTTTATATCCATGCAATCTCCTCAACAATGCATGTCATATGCAAATAATGGTATATCATAAATATATTCTCAAGTATATTATTAATGATAAGATAACAATAAAATTCATATACCATTTAACAGTAACTCATGATAATTTCATAGCTATTAATATATTTAAATATTGATCATAATTACTAGCAACAAATCTTAATAAAATCAGGTAACATACCAAAACATTTATTTTACAAAAAATCATAATATTATATTTCAGTAATATAATGATTAGTAAATCCACGATATAATCATACACAATTCACATGTACAAGAAAGAATTTTCAGAATTACCTGGTACTCTTTAGCTTACAAATAATTACACAAAGTTTACTCCAAAATTCTCAAGGGTCTACAAAATTGCACATAAATATTTATTAATATAAAACACGAAACTATTCCAAAACTACTCTAAAATTCTAAGACTACCCTCTAAACCAAAAATATATAAACATATTAACTCTCCCAAATTTTGCTATTTATAATAAATATAATATTTTGAAAATATAATTTACATATAAGACTATTTAAATTTAATAACTTAAATAAATATATATTTCTTACAATATAAATATTTTATATTAAAATCTCAACTATTTATTATAGTCCCATTTAAAATTTTTCCTCAACTAAGGAACTCCTTTGAAGTATAAATAAATTTTAATTTTTATAAAATTCTCAATTTACAATTCTTTATGCTTCCAAAAATTATTTCAACAATATATCTTTGACATACTCAATATTCTAACCAATTAAAATTTTAATAATATATTAAATAACTCAAATAAATTATTTAACTTAAATTTAATCGGTAAAAACATTCTATAAGTATTGAATAACAACTTTTTCAACTAAAATCTTAATTTAAAATTCCCAAAACCATCAATAAACAAATATAAACTGGTTAAAATTTCTTAATAATGTATCTTTAAATTTCTACAATTATACATTGTCAAAACTCCTTATTTACTTTATACCCAAACAATAAAATTTTCTCTAAACATTATAATGATACTAATAATATAAAGCTATAAATATATCAGAAATATTCATAAAGAAAATTTGACAAGAAGAAGTAGTTTTGTGTACCTAAATGATCATCAAATCTTTCCTTATCTTCCAGACAACATGTATTTCCACTTTCTTGATTTTCGTTTCTTCCTCTCGCTCTCTCTTTCTCTTCTCTCGCTCTCTTTCTCTCCCACTCTCTCTTGCTCTGGCTTGAAAGAAATAACCTGAATGATGATATATATAATACTCCCACGTCTGATTTTCTACCGCTCATCTCCCATTTTCCACTTCCATCCGTACCTTCCCCCCTTCTTTTTCTTCCATCATTTACTACTTCTCCCCTAAATTCTCCTTTCATTTAATACACTCTCCCAATATTTTTCTCTTGGTCAATTGCCCCCACCTTTTCACTGCCTATGCCTTATCCTATTTCCCTTCAGTCGTCCCTCACCCCTTCTTTTCCTTTGCATTAATTACCCCTCCCATTTTCCACTCTCAATGGAGAAAGGGGTGTTGGGTTTTTTTTTTTAACTAACAAAATATTATTTTAATAACGTATTATATTTTCTTTTATTATTATTATTATTATTTTGTATGTTACCGTTGGATTCCACAGCTCTAAAATACCAAGGGATATTGTAGTCTTTTAATCTTGCATATCTTATTATAAAATAAAATAAATGTATGTATTCCTCCCACGTATTACCTCATGCCAAACATTTAAATAAAGATTGAAGTGCACATTTGGTCTTTTAATTTTGTACAAAGTTTCAATTTGATTCTTTAACTTTAAAAAGCATACATTTGGTCTTTTAACCCTAAAATCATTAGGCTTTAATGATGATTTTTGTAACAATCATGAATGTTTTGAAAATTAAACCTAATATGTTAGCATTTAAAATTTTTTTATTAACATTTAAGATCTTAATGTCATCATTTTTTTAAAAAATTTTAGGGGTAAAGGAGTAAAAGTATGCTTTCTAAAGTTAAAGGACCAAATTGAAACCTTATATAAATTTAAAGGACCAAATATATATTTTAGCCTTAAATAAAAGCCCTATTCCCAATCCATCAAAAATCAATCCCGCCCACCAAACATAATCTTAGGGGGTGTTTGGCAAAACCAAAACCATGGTTTCAGAATCACTTTTCCGCAAAACGAGATAACCTCATCCACATATTTACTTCGTAATCCGTAAAAGCACTTCTGAAACCATAGTTTGGTTTCTATCCAAACACCCCCTTAGTACTTAACCGTGTCTCTAATTGTATTACCTCTAACAAGACTTTTGAGATAGCCAATAACATCATGGGCAAATCAGACTTTTGATCCCATCTTTTTTATTCTTTTTTTTCCCCCTAAACAGATTGGCTCCTTTCTTTGATTGGAAAGGAGTGGGAGTCCAGCATAGCAAATTGGCAACTAACAAATGAAGGTTTTAGTTGTCCCTTTATGGTTTTAGTAGTGCTCTTTTTCCCTTCTCTCTAGTCTTTATCATTTCCTCACACCCCACACAACCTTACATTTTCGGGAAAATGACAATAAAAAAAACTAAAAATTATTAAATCAGATTTGGGAACAACACTTTATTTGGTATTGATAATACTAAATTTATAAATAATAACAGATTTTTGTTATTCTTTATTTGACATTTAGTAATTCCTAACTTCTTTTTTTAATCATTTTCCCTAGATTTTCTGAAATATTGAGCATTGACTTAACATAATAAGTGAATTCAAATATATATATTTTATTAACAGTTTAATAATAATTATAATATGTTACTCATATTTACTAATAATTATTTTTTATTCAATCAAAATTTTGTTAAAATTTTTTATATTTTATTTATTTATTTTAATTTCATAATTTGGGGAGAGATGGAGTCAATTTCAATTGCCCGGTCAAGACTGTCATCAATACTTTCAGCTCTCAACAATCCACGGTCATCAATATCCTCCAACCTAAGGGTCCGGTTGGTATGAAGAAAAATGAGAGAAGGGGAGAGGAAGGAAAATTTTGGGGTTAAAAGTTTCTAATTAATTTTTATTATTTTTTTATATTATTTCTTCCGTTTATTAAAATTTCAAAACCTCATTTTTTCACTTTTTTAAATAGAACCCACTAAAATTTTCCTTCTCCTCCCCTCCTCTCCATTCCTCTTATACCAATCAGTACCTAAAGAAAATTGAACTAGTCGTCTCACCCCAAAAAAATAATTGCACTAATGAATTTAATGAAATAAATAAGAAAATACAATTTTCAGATTGCCATGCTTATACTAACAATACAGTGTGTGCTACTCTCTTTTTCAGCATTAACAAAAGAACAACCAACAATCCTCACATCAAATTTTTTATACCTATTATATTAAATTCTCTAACCACACATGTTCTTCATATGTCTTATTTTTAAAACATTGGCATTTAATAATATGAACTTATAAATTCATTTTCCTATTTTTTAAAATATTAACATTTAATTATAAATTTACATGATACAAAACAAGACAAATTATCATATGTAATTAGAGAAGTTGACATAATACACACACAAAGAACCTGATCTAAGCTTTTTATTAATAAAATTCACTCTTAGCCTAAAACAAAATTAGCAATCCTCAACATAGTAGGACCCTATTTAAAATCATGTTTGTAAGCATTTATAAATATATTTTATATAAATTGAGACAAAATTTCTATTACGTACTTATCAGTCGTTCCAAAAAGGCACTGCAGGGAAACCACAAGAACGAAAAATCCTAATAAAGCTTATTAAATTTTGGAAACTGGGCCGATCTCCTCCTGCAATCGCGGCATGAGAACACACAGTGAGCGTAGAATGAGTTTTGATTAACAAGACTCAAGTTGAACAAACAAACACGCCTATCTATTCCAACAAACTCTCTTTGCTCCTTCAAACCACTTAACTTGAATTGTATCATTTAATATTTTACAATATTGCCGTAACACCACCACCACCGCCTCTTGTAAGTTCTATAAATACCATCTCTTGTTTCGCACACTTCCATCCACACATTCAAAATGGCATCCCCAGGTTATTTCAGCATCCTATTGCTTCTGTTCCTCTGTTCTTGTAACTATCTCGCTATTGCCCAAAATCTGCCCTATAAAGCTGTCAATCTGGGGAATTGGCTCGTCGCAGAAGGCTGGATGAAACCATCTCTCTTTGATGGAATAGTTAACAAAGACCTCTTGGTATGTACTTTCATATCCATATCTTTGCATTTCCTTTTATGCTTCCTGAATGATTCTTGATTTTATGTCTTGCTCGTCTTCAGGACGGAACTCAAGTGCAATTGAAGTCCACCAAGTTACAGAAGTTTCTGGTGGCTGAAAACGGAGGAGGAGCTAATGTTTTGGCTAACCGCGATTCTGCTTCCGGTTGGGAAACTTTCAGGGTATGTATTCCTAAGCACTCTATAACGTGAAAGGCTTTTGCGGATTCCTTCTTCTAATAATCTAAAATGGACAACGGAGGATGCAGTTATGGAGGGTTAGCGATTCCACCTTCAATTTCAGAGTGTTCAGCAAGCAATTCGTTGGTTTGGATGGTGGAAACAAGCTAGTCGCAACTTCTAACTCACCCAGCAACCCAGAAACTTTCCGGATTTTAAGGAACAGTGACGACCCATCCAAAATTCGCATCCAAGCATCGAACGGCATGTTCCTACAGGTTTTGATCCTCTGTTATTCAAAACCGAACATTATATGCGACATGGATTGCTCATTATCATTCTGGGAATTATATAAATGTTCATTTGAATTAGTTTAATGTCTTAGGCTCAATCAGAGACAGTGGTAAGTGCTGATTTTCAAGGTTCCACAAACTGGGAAGATGGCGACCCATCTGTGTTCCGTATGACGATTGTGAAAACCTTACAAGGAGAGTATCAAATTACTAATGGCTATGGTCCTGATAGAGCTCCTCAAGTCATGCAGGTCTCAGACATATTTCTTCAACCGCCACTATTATTCCTTTCTATTCCAAACACAAATGAAAATTGCTGCTAATTAATGTTACTGAGCATAGAATGCAGAATCATTGGAACACGTATATCACTGAAGAAGATTTCAGATTCATGTCAGAAAATGGATTGACCGCTGTTAGAATTCCGGTCGGTTGGTGGATAGCCCACGACCCCAATCCCCCAAAACCTTTCGTCGGAGGATCTCTAGCAGCGTTGGACAATGCTTTCACTTGGGCTCAGTAAGTTCTTAGATTCACTTTCAACTGTTCAATTGTCATAAAAAAAAAAAAAAAGTCGGTTAAATGTTAATTTACTGTCGCATGTTGCAGAAACCATGGGCTGAAAGTGATAGTGGACCTTCATGCAGTTCCAGGTTCACAAAATGGGAACGAGCACAGCGGAACAAGAGACGGATATACTGAATGGGGAGATTCATACATACCAGACACAGTCGCAGTTATTGACTTCTTAGCAGAAAGGTTTGAACTTTGAGTTCTTGTGCTGTTTTCTAGTCTTCATTACGTACGAAACACGATGATCTAGTTCCTATTTTAAGGTAGCGACGAGATGAAAGTTGACTTTGGCGTGGCAGATACGGGAACAAACCTAGTCTAGGGGGAATCGAACTGATGAATGAGCCAACATTAGGGCCAGATCTTGACAACCTCAAGAATTACTACCAGCAAGCTTATGATGCGGTGAGGAAACACTCTGAAATGGCCTATGTCATCATGTCAAACCCATTGGATCATAGCTCCACCGAACTTCTCTCATTTTTTGGGAGCTTCGATCGAGTAGTGGTTGACGTGCATTATTACAATCTGTATTCAGATCAGTTCAAAAACATGAACGTGCAACAAAACATCGATTATATAAATAACCAGAGAGCGTCAGATCTCAGTAGCGTAACCACCAAAAATGGTCCTCTCAGTTTCATAGGTAAGTAACAAGATTATACAAGAAGACATGATAGATCCCTTCATTAAATTCTCCTTCTGTGCATGCCTGAATCTTTATTTATAACTAAACATGAAACTTCAAACAAATATGCTATTTATTCATTGATGGGGTTATGGTAATGATATATGACAGGGGAGTGGACCGCAGAGTGGAACGTCCAGGGAGCGTCAAAGGAGGATTACCAGAGATTTGCAAAAGCCCAATTGGAAGTGTATTCTCGGGCCACTTTTGGATGGGCCTATTGGGCCTACAAATGCCAATATAACCATTGGAGCCTCAGGTGGATGATTGAGAATGGCTATATAAACCTCTCATTTAGTATTTAGAGGTAATGATAAGATAATGCCTTTGCATTCCTATCAAATTTCGTATTCAGTAATCATCCATCGTTTGACAACATTTATGAAGTACTACTAGAAAATAAAGAATACGAATTCTTGGACTTGGATTCTATCCATTATTAGCTATGTTCTAGTTATTTATTTGTTTAATATTTCTTGTTTTCTAAAGTTAATTTCATATTATTACCTCCAGTCCGAAATATAAGACTTAGTTTACAATGTAATTTTTATTATAAACTAGACTCTACATTTAGAAACAAAGATACTATAATTTTATTTTGATATTGTTACTCAAAATTAATTCCTTTTCGTCTTTACAGAAAGAAGTAGTTCTATTGATGAAATAGATTAAAAGGGAATCGAATATAAATTCATAAAACAAAATGAATATCACATATAATTTAAATAGAATAGAAATACGTTGCCGGAAAAAAAAAAGAAATAAATTTAAGCTACCACTTGTTGAATGAAATGCGTAATAAATGCAAATCATGAGAAAAAATTATTTAGAAAAATAAAATGAAATTGATTAAAAATAAAAAATAATTAATGAGCAACATACATGTACATAAACATATCAACTCTAAGTTCGAACATAAAACCTTATATAAACATAACAAATGACACTGTTACTAAGACAATTTGCTGTTCATAATAAGTGGCATATGGATGGCCACTTGAATAAAATGAATAAGAGTATGAAATGGAATTGATTTTAGGGGAATCCGGTGAACAAGTCCCATTTCCACACTATTGCCAATATATAATATAATATATTTAGTTTATATATTTAACATCACAAATCATAATTTACATTAATTATCTCAACATGCTGGAGCTTTAATTAATTATTCCCGCTGCATGGAAGGTTCTTTAAAACATGTGAATTGTCTTATCGAATTTACAGGTGCTAGTTCAGCTCAAAAAAAAAAAAAAACAATTAACGAGTGTTAGTAAATGATTAACAAATATTACTCTAATACTACCTTCGGTCTTTAATATAAGACCTTGTTTGACTTTTATTTTGGTTTTAAATATAAGATCCCAATCCATTTTATTTCTAATATTTATGTATTTTTTTCCAAGATAGTCCTTTTATAATAGTAGTTCTAATCAATATGCTTGATTAGCAATGATATTTTAAGAAAGACAACACCTATTTATGACAAATAACTAATTTAATTTTTTTCCTTAATTTTCTCAAATTAGTCAATTAACTCTTATAATTAGGACCGGAAGTCGTGTGAACGTTCATGTGTTGAGTGGACAAGAAAAGAGCCACTTGCATAGTGGGAGGGGGTCGGCCCCAAGATTTTTGTTTTGTTTTTTAACCAAAATTTTTTAATAACATTCAACATTGGCAGGCCAATATATAATATTCCCTTTTTAAAAAACAAAGTCTTAATTTTTTTGGGCAAATTTTGGTCTTGCTTTAATTATCTACTTACCCTCGCAGAACTCTTACTCAGGTTTTTATGGAAATGAGCATTGGATTGGCATAAACTCTTGTTGCTGCACAATGGCTGTGAATTTACTCATCCCTTTAAGAGATGAGGTTGACGATGAAGCTAAATTACTTATTTCTAGAGATTGATAATTTCCAATGTACTCAGAACTGGCAACTTTCTGGCAGATTGACTTGCCAATTATTACTCTCATAGGCTATCTATACTCCTCTTGTCTTATTATTTATAAATTACTTCTAATATATTTCACACAGATTAAGAAAAATCTTAAACTTTATTAGTTTTCATTTAAAATTCAACAACTTGTCAACCTTAATCTTATTTAATACTCCTCCAGTCCTTAATATAAGACTCATTTAACTAATTTGATTAGATTAAGGAAGTTAGGTAAATTAGTTAATTATACGAAAAGTGACACATTTTTCCTAAAACACCATAATCATCTTTCTTAATTCCCTCTCTCCCTCTTCTACTTGATTATGGTTGGGAGAGTATCCATAGGGGTAATTTAGAGAAAATTGATAAATATGAGAAATGGGTCTTATATTTAGGACCAAAACCAACTCAAGAATTAGGTCCTATATTAATGATCGGAGGAGTATATATTATACCTCACGCAAATAAAGTCAATAGTCAATACAATAACAAATAGATGGTAAAATTATATATCTATATAAAAAATTTCTCTCAGTATCCTATAAATAGGATCAAAAAATATATTTTCTCTCTGCTTTATACATGACCACAGGAGTATTAAGCAATTTCCATCTTCAGATCCAAGAGTTGAAACTTGGTAGATGATGAAGAATCTGGTCTAGTAAGGTATTGTTTTGCTTAAACCCGGCCTCTTACGATTTAATAGTATTCACTACTTTCACTAAGAAGAAAAAACATGTAATCTTCTTTAATGCTTTTCTATATGTAGATATATTTTTAGGCCGTACTTGTACGATATATTTTATTAATATCTGAGATGTTAAACAACTTTTTTTTTCATTTTTACCTCCATTATATAACACTGCATTAGTTATTTTCTTTTTTCTATTTCTCTCCCTCAGCCACTTTCTCTTTATACATAAAAGTATTTTTAAAAAAATAAAAATATATATATATTGCACATTTATTGATTCCAACCACTTTTTTAATTTATACAATTCAATTATTTGTATCTTATAAATAAAATTGGGGGAGTAATACATTATACACACCAAATTTGAATGTAGAAGTTAAAAATTCGTTTTGGCCCTAAATATAATCTTTCAATTTCAGTTTTTTATGTCCTCATTGGTATTAATAATATTTTCTGCACAGAATTTAAACATACAATATTTATGATATTTTAATGAACATGATTTAATAATACTTAGATTTTTTGGTAAAAAATACTTATAATATATTACTAGTATATATTAATAAATTTTTTCATTTTAAATAAATATTTTTTGTTTATTTTCTTTAATTTCATAATTTCAATTTTCAAGTATGATGGTGGCCAATGAAATTTTCGTCTTATGATCCCCATCTTTTTTTTTTTTTTGTTTTGGCTAGGATTGTTGCATTTCATTACTGAAGTAGCTCCAACATTCTCGCAATTCGTGAATCACATCAATGTTGTCTCATACAAGGAGAATTTGCTTAATCTTTTTGGTTGTTCTGATATCAGCAACATCTTAGCAAGGGATGTTAATACGTACTTCAATCTTTTTTTTTTTTAGTTATTCTATTTATTTTTTTGGCCAAAATTAGTTATTCTTTTTACAAAACTGATGTTTTATTGATCCCCATCCCTTGAACTTAGTAATGCGGATCGTATAATTTTTTTTTATTTTATATAATTGATCTTTTTATTAAAAGGAAAAAAGTATGATGGTGGCCAATTTCAAATGACCAAATTGTCAGCAATTTGATCAGTACAGTTGTCAATAGCCCATAGTTTCCTTCCTTCAACACGGCCCATAGTCAAGTCAACCCGGAACACAAGAAATTAAACCCATTTTTTAAAAAGAAAAAATGGAGTAATTAATATAATAATTAAAATACATAATTTAATAACTTGTTGGCCAAAACAAAACAAAAAACAAAAGGAAAATTAAGTCACAATTCTCCACGTTTCAAGATTGGCATGCTTGAACAGATTAATATAAGTAAACAGATCGGACAAGAATGATACTTTATAAAGATACAATTTTTCCATACTACCACCACCGCCTGCAAAATCTACACACACACGCACACACCATCTCTTCGCAGACTTCACAAAATACTTTCAAAAATGGGAAATCTGCCATACAAAGCTGTGAATCTGGGAAATTGGCTCGTCACAGAAGGCTGGATGGAACCATCTCTCTTTGATGGAATAGTCAACAAAGATCTCTTGGTACTTCCATATCCATTTCTTCACGATTATCTTTTCATTTATGCTTTATCAATATATATATATATATATATATATTCATCGTGGTTCTTTATATTTTTGGCCATTCCCAGGATGGAACTCAAGTGCAATTCAAGTCCACCAAGTTACAGAAGTTTCTGGTGGCTGAAAATGGAGGAGGAACTGATGTTTTCGCCAACCGCGATGCAGCTTCTGGTTGGGAACTTTCAAGGTTTGTAGTATTCCTAGAAACTCTCGCATGAAATTAAAGGCTTTGGGGAGATTCCTTCATTTTATGATCTGACATGTACAATCGACGTACGATGTAGTTATGGAGGGTCAGCGATTCCTCCTTCAATTTCAGGGTGTTTAACAAGCAATTCATTCGTTTAGACGGTACGAACAAACTAGTCGCAACTTCTAACTCACCCAGCAACCCAGAAACGTTTCAGATTATAAGGAACAGTGACGACCCATCCAAAATTCGTATCCAAGCATCAAACGGTCTGTTCCTACAGGTATTATTGATACTTTGTTATAATCCAACCCCGGCCGCACATTATTATATGCGACATGTGGATCGCTCGTTATCATTCTGGGAATTATATGTTTGTTTGATTTCGTTATTTAGGCTCAATCGGAGACAGTGGTGAGTGCTGATTTTCAAGGGTCAACCAACTGGGAAGATGGTGACCCATCTGTATTCCATATGACAATTGTGAAAGGTTCGACATTACAAGGTGAGTATCAGATTACTAATGGCTATGGCCCTCTGAGAGCTCCTCAAGTCATGCAGGATCATTGGAATACGTATATCACTGAAGAAGATTTCAGATTCATGTCGGAAAATGGGTTGACAGCTGTTAGAATTCCGGTTGGTTGGTGGATAGCCCACGATCCCAATCCTCCTAAACCTTTCGTCGGAGGATCTCTGGCAGCACTGGACAATGCTTTCACTTGGGCCCAGTAAGTGTGTTTATCCATTTTCAAGCTCTCCATTCTCAGAAACCAATCAATTACATGTTACGTCACCATCAAATGTTGCAGAAACCATGGGATGAAAGTGATAGTGGACCTTCATGCAGTTCAAGGTTCACAAAATGGGAATGAACACAGCGGAACAAGAGACGGATATATTGAATGGGGAGAATCATACATCCCAGACACCGTCGCAGTAATTGAATTCTTGGCAAAAAGGTTTGAACTTTGAATTTTTGGGGCGTTTTCTGGTCTTCATCATTACGATCTACTTGCTATTTTAAGGTGGTA